TGTTTGACCCGGTAAACAGCACAAGTAGCATTGTTGTGAATCGAATGATGAGCTAGGACTTGAGATCTGAGTTCAACTCCCCACTTGGTTGTGGAAACTCACTGGGTGTGTGTGCTGGCACTAGTAAAACCCTCTTTAAACTTCTCACTTACCTTAAAAAGCCTATTATGGTTGCTCTAAGAGTTTTGTTTTTCTTTTAATTTTAAGTTATGCATTGCATTTCTTGTTAAAAAGGGGTTGGGTGAACAAGTGGTGAGAGGCCAGAGGGGTTCTTAAAAAGAAAAAAAAAGGTACATGCCAAAATGTTTGGGAATTGCTGACTTAGAGTCTTAATTGCTGTTCCTGTTGGTCTCTTATCTGTAACTGTTTTGTTTGGAGTGAAAGGGCTCTGGCTGGGTGTATCAATTATCAAAGGTTTCATTCTGTTACAGTTCCTGGTGTTTAATATTTTGTTGGACCCAGTAAACAGTACAAGGAGCATTGTTGTGAATCGAATGATGAGCTAGGACTTGAGATCTGAGTTCAAATCCCCACTTTGCTGTGGAAACTCACTGGGGGAGGGGTGCTGGCACTGGTAAAACCACTCTTTAAACTTCTCACATACCTTAAAAATCCTATTATGGTTGCTCTAAATTGGATGTGACTTAATATCCTAATAGCACAAACAGTACAACTTTGTTGCGATTCTGTAAATAAACACAAATCATGCCACATGCAGAAGCCCATCAAGTATTCTAATTTCTGTAAAACAGCCCAAACTGTTGTCTGCGGTAACTTTAGCCCTGGAAAAGGGAACAGGCTGAATATAGGCTCACCTCTGTAAAACCCAAGAGTTAGCAATGTAAACAGGTGTGCCTGTAAACCTCGTTATCTCTTCCTGCTTTTAGTTAGTGGTAGGGTTAGCAGCCATTCTTGCAGCATTGTGCATTTGCGGGGGTTTTTGCTTCAATCCTAAAGAACTGAATCATGTTATGCCATTTTTGCTCAAGGCAAAAATAGGAACAAAACATAAGAGGCCATAGTTACGATAGGATGTTTCTACCAAAAGATTTTTCAGAGCCCCAGGTAAGCTTTTTGGTCTTAAATATAATCCTAGCAGCTACTCCAGACACACTCCTTGGGTAGTGTACGGCTGGGGTTACATTGAAAGGCAGACCCTGATGTTGCCTTGGATATTATTTGTGAAAGCTTTCCTTTTTCGACTCAGAGGTGAAACACTTATTATGTGAAATGGTAGGCTTTGCATCCTCAAATTTGCTTTTAAACAGTGGGAGCTAAAACCAAAGCGTTTTTCTTCTGAGCATTTTTCATTCTGATTCTTTTCTTGATATACTTTCCCTTGTAGTAGACTACCGTCCTCCTAAATGAGATTTTAAAGCCAGGTCTGGGAAGCTTGTGGCCCTGTTGTTGTGGGACTACAACTCCCAATGTTTTCACCTCTGGGAATAAGGGGCCTTGTGGTGCAGTGGTCAGACTGCAGTTCTGCAGCCCAGACTCTGCTCATGACCTGCGTTCAATTTCAGCCGCTTAATGTAGAGGTTGGTAAATTGAGAACCCAGCTTGCAGGGTGGGGGTGATGAGTAATTATGTTGTAAACTGCCCAGAAAGCACTTCAAGCACTATGGGATTGTCAGATGACTCCCTGGAAAAGGCTCTAATGCTAGGAAAGTGTGAAGGCAGGAGAAGGGGATGACAGAGGATGAGATGGCTAGACAGTGTCATCAAAACTACCAACATGAATTCGACCCAACTCTGGGAGGCATTGGAAGACAGGAGGGCCTGGCGTGCTCTGGTCCATGGGGTCACGAAGAGTCGGACACAACTAAACAACAACAAAAATAAGCAGCACACTTGGCTTTCCCCCCTTTATGCTTGTTAAGACAAATGGGAAGAGCAGTCCAGCAACATCTTTGTGGCAGCACTTTCCTCACCTCTGTTTCTGAACATTACTCATTTTGTTCCTTAACAATCTGGTGGAGAATGTGTGTGGGGGGGAGTTATGCCTTTTCAACAGGTGATAAGTATTAGCTTGATTAGTTTCACTTTTTAATTAAGCCAGTTCTCTGACTTGCTGGTGCTCAAAAGATAGCAAGGCAGTACAGTGTTTTAGTTGAAAAAGGTCATAGGCTAATGGACTGGCTCAGGTACTTTTCGTATTGAATATACATTAGTAACAGTATTGACAGACTACTGTATTATGAAAAATAATTATTAAATGTGTTTTAAAATTATATTCTTTCAGTCACCTGGAAGAGAGAACTCAGTGGGACCATCCTAAATCTGGGAAACGAAAACGAGTTGCTGGAGGTTTGTGTTTGCTTTCTGTTGCCTAAGGCTAATAGACCAGGTTTCGCTTGGTCTTTCTTTGGGTATTCCAGATAAAATACAGAAAAGAGCAATGTAAGCTTTTATTTTGCAAACAATTTGTGTGTTGCTAAATGCATCCATATAATTGTAAAAAATGGTAAACTTTCAGCTATTATTGCTGTGAGATGTAATGCGAGAGTTCATACAGGTAACTTTCTTAAAGGGTAGAAAGATGACAGCTTGAAATTTTGTATCATAGGATGTCTACAGATTGATTATCAAGTGACTTCATCCTGGCATGCTTCCTTTCAAATCTGGAAGGCTACTGGACTACAGATCTGGACTACAAGTCCAGAAAATGCAAATCGCACACTTCTAGTAAAAAGCAGTAACCTCATCACAATAAAGTCACAGTTTTACAGTGTAATATCCACTGCTATGGATAAACCTTCAGAATGCAGGTGTCAGATGATCAAACAACAGCTATTGAGCCACTGGATCCAAGAATAGGTATTTCAGCCAGTTTATTTAGCAGTTTATTCTTCAGAATTTTGTGTACGCTTAGTCTGAAGCTCAGAAAAAACAACAAATGAAGCTGTGTTTTCCTTAGACAATACAAAAGCAAAAGCAGGTGATACATTTCTTAGATCAATTTTAAAAATTGCTAGCGTTCTACTTATATTAGTCTTTATCAGGCTTGCAGTAATATATTCTGGGTTGTATAGAAAAAAAGATACAAAAGTCTCCAGAAATCATGTCAATGTCCATGTCTGGTCTATTTCTTAAAAGTGATTTCTTAAATATAGACTGCAAACATAAAACAGGAGTGTAGGTTTCAAATACAGTGGCTCTTGTTGGATTCTGCCTCCCAGTTCATCAAACAAAGGGCTTCTCTCATCTCAAATAAATGGCAGCACTATGTTTTATGTGTTGGAAGAAAGAATCCAACATGAGCCACTGGAGCGGAATTTGAAACACATACTCCTGACATATGATTGCAATCTCGACGCGGACATCTACCATGACTGTTTTTTGTTTGTTTGTTTTGATTTACTTTCATATGTTTCTTTCTGCACAATATATTGGTGCACAGTCTGATGTAGGTACAGGTTGAAAGCTAGCAGTTTGTTTGCTTGCTTGTTTGTTTGTTTATACCCTGCCAAGGTGGCTTCCAACATTGAAAGACAATATTTAAAATTGTAGACAATGAGTATACGATGATGGTTAACATCATTAAGAGACAATATTTAAAGCTCAGATCAATGAGTATAAAGAGGCACCTTGCACCATTAAAAGGCAATATTAAAGCTAAGAACAGTTAAGTACATAAAAAACGCTCCAAATGTCACTCTGAGAAATGAAAAACACAGGTAGCATTAAAAATCCAGTCAAAGCACTAATTATTATTATTATTATTGATTGTATTTATACCCCGCCTCTCTAGTCATTTCGGCCAGTCTAATGCATAATAATCCATCTAAAAATCACACACAGTTAGCTAATAGAGGTATCACCTGCCCTTTCATTAATCTGAAGTTAATGTGTTCAGGATTATTGTGTTACAAGAACATACAACCTGTTGATCACACACTGTTGATCTGCCATGGTTTCTCAGCCTTCGGTGGCTGTAGCTCTCCACTGTTCTGCCCCATGCTTTTTGACTGCCAGCCTTCAGATGAAGATAATGTGATGACAAGGGCGTGCAATTAGACTATTTGAGCTGATAGCCAGGCAGAAATTGTGCTTCAGTGCCACTGAATGGGTTTTCTGGTTTGTTTGTTTTTAGATTTGCCGTATGGCTGGGAGCAGGAGACGGATGCAAATGGACAAGTTTACTTTGTTGAGTAAGTGAGAACTGTAATATATGTCCAGAGAAGTTAAGATGTGACCCACCTAAACACTTTCATCGTTATGATGATTGCCTGCCCTACTCGTCCAGATGTCCTACCCTTTGAACGTAAAGAAATGGACAGCGCTGTAGTTACACTAAAAAACGGAGCCATTAAAAAACAGGCATTTTTAAAGAAGTGACATCAGTAAAACTTAATCTTGGTGAACAATTTAGTGGCCAGAATCTTATTGCCAAATTTCGCTTGCCCAAGGGAAGTCGTGGTTCAGGCGACATCATGGGACTGAGACAGTTGTGGTCGCCCTGCTGTTACAGGTGCCTAACTGGGGGAGTGTGACCCTGTCACCTTTAACCCTATCAAGCACAGTATCCTCTTGGACCGCTTGTTGGGACTAGGGATGGGAGGCCTAGCATTAGGCTGGCTTCATTCTTTCATTCTTTCCTGGATGGCTGGTGCCAGCTTGGGGAAGCTGTTTCGTTCCCATGGGACACTACAACGTGGTGTTCTGCAGAAGTCCATCATCTCCCCTTTGCTGTTTAATATCTGTAGGAGGCTGCTGGGGGAGGGCATTTGGAGATTTGGAGTGTGTTGTTATCAGTACACTTAAGGGCAAGCAACTCTATCTCCCCTTTTCCTCTTCAGCAGGAGAAGCTATACAAAACCTATGGCATTGTCTGGCTGTGATTATGGACTAGATAAGGGCAAATAGGCTGGAGTTGAATCATGACAGGATGGAGATCCTGCTGCTGGGAGGGCATTATGATCGGTTAGAGGGTTGATCTGGATGGGATCACACTCCCCCCAAGGATCAGGCCTGGGATCTGGGTGTGTTTTTGAACCCAGCCCTCTCAATGGAGAAACAGATCTTGGCCAGTTGAGCCTCCATAAGCAAGTGAAAACCTGCCTTTTTACCCAGGCCTTTACAAACCTCACCTCTTTGTAATATTAATTTTGTACTTAGTTTATGCTGGCCCATGGTTTGCCAAATGAGTTTTTGGTTTTGTATCCTGATTCCCCCCCCTTTTAATTATTGTATAGGATAGTTTTTGTTATTTTCTCTCCCAACATCCTTACGCTTTTTCGTTCTTTTCCCTCTTCTCGCTCTGCTTTTCTCCAATATAGTAGAGATAACATGCAACACAAATGTATTCTCCTTTTCTGTCCCCCCCTCCCCAAATTTGAACTGTTTAAAGAATTCTAGGCCCTGTAGAAAAAAGGAATATGTGAAATTGTCCCCATCCATGTTTCAGGTGGCTAGGTTTCTTGAACTTGCAGCTAAGTGGGACATGGGCACACATACATATAGTCTCATTAGTATAGGTACAAAGCAGACTTTTAAAAAATATAAATACTGTACCAAACAAAAATTGGAAAAAAGAAACCCACAAGAAACATTGTGGCACCTGAAAGACTGTTGCATTTCAACTTCCGTGCATACAGTATATGTACCTCTTCAGACATCCATGAAAGCTGACATTGGAAGATAACATTAGTCTTCAAAGTGCAACAATGTTTTTCTTTCATTTCATTTCTTTTCAATTAGTCTTCAAAGTGCCACAATGTTTTTCTTTTATTTCATTTCTTTTCAGTTTTTTCCCCTCTCAATAGGCTTGCATAGACTAATTTGGTTACTTTGTATAGGAAGTATTTTTATTTTGTTTTGTTGTGAACTGAACAAAGTAAGTAAACAAACGACGTTCTCAATTACGCTGTGTTTCATGGCAGGAGCCGCGTCGAAAATAAGGTTGATTTGATTACCAAAGTTTTGCTTCCTTGCTTCAGTGAAAGGGATAGTGGATACAGTGCCTTAGGGTGTCCAAGAAAATCACATGGATAAAGGCAGAGTGGTTGCTGCAAATATTATTAACAATTTTAATATTCAGTATTATTCTGCAGAATAATACTGAATATTATTATTCACTAGTAGCAAAAGTCTGCACCTCTGGCAAATGCATTTTTGTTTTTTCAACTAATTTTTTGTGATTTGTTTTCACTCTTTATTCAACCTCCTCCAGTTGTAAATATATATATTTTCTCAATTATGACTCTATACCTTGTTTTATTGGGTAATTATATTTCCTGGGCACTTTAAGGAGTATGATTCCCCTTGTTTTTCACATAGAGACAGAAGTGAAGTGAAATAAAAATAATAATTGTGTCTGGCAGTGTAGGAGATCCAGTGTATGGAATGCCCATGGGTGACATGTTACTCTGATATACGTGTTCACATGAGTAAAATTAAGAATATTGTTTCTTCTTTTTTATTTAGTTCATTTCACTTACAGCCCTCCTTTCCCCCAGTTCGGGAGCCCATATATTCTGTACAGAAATAATGTATAGTATCTGGACATGTAGTAATATGTTGACAGAAAGTATTTTCCAGTGTTTGCATGGTTATTGAAAGAGGAGACTCTGATGCGGAGAAACATTTCTCGTTTCTTCTTTAAGCCATATAAACAAAAGGACAACCTACCTGGACCCAAGACTAGCATTCACTGTGGAAGACAGTCCAGCGAAACCCAGCGCAAAGCAAAAATACGACGGAAGTACAACTGCGATGGAGATACTTCAGGGTCGGGACATGAGTGGAAAAACGGTCATAATCACTGGAGCGAATTCAGGAATAGGTAGGTCAATATTACATTTAAAATTTGAGCAAGGTACTTCAACTTATGCGTTGATATGCGTTGCATATCTATGAATTTTTTATGTTGATTTTCTAGTTTTCTTCCTTAGCAGCGGTGTGATGGGTCCGGGGTGGTGTAGAAAAGTTGAACAATTCTACATTTATTTATTTTATTTATTTACGTACATACATACATACATACATATAAACTTTATTGTTTCTGGCCATAGACCTTTACAACGTACTGAGTACTATAGCATATAAAATCCGATTAAAACAGGTAATAACCTTAAAACAATTAAAACCATTAAAACCATTAAAACCAATAAAACCAATAAAACTAATAAAGCCAGGTGTAAGAATATTATCATAGCACAGAACATCAATTCACTGTATTCAGCATTTATGTGGCATTATGATCCCTGACAAATCGAAGCCTCAGATTCTTAGCTGCTAGTGCGAATTGTGCTACAGCATATGTAATGTTCAATTGTGTATCAGCGAGCAATCCTACTATTATTTTATTTATTTATTGAATTTATACCCTGCCCATCTAGACACAAGTCTACTCTGGGTGGCTACATAGCAGTTGAATTTTTTTTTTCATTCTAGTGCAATGTGAATTCTCAGCATTCTAGGCGATACACCCAGCAGTGTGAGATTTGTTTGCACATTGGATCACATGCTCTCCATCAATAGCCCTTCTGCCCTTCTGTGCATTCTTCCATTGCTGCCACCATACTTCAACTTATGCGTTGATATGCGTTGCATATCTATGAATTTTTTATGTTGATTATCTAGTTTTCTTCCTTAGCAGCGGTGTGATGGGTCCGGGGTGGTGTAGAAAAGTTGAACAATTTTACATTTATTTATTTTATTTATTTATTGAATTTATACCCTGCCCATCTAGACACAAGTCTACTCTGGGTGGCTACATAGCAGTTGAAATTTTTTTTCATTCTAGTGCAATGTGAATTCTTAGCAGCGGAGGCCTGCTAGGCGTTACACCCAGCAGTGTGAGATTAGTTTGCACATTTGATCACATGCTCTCCATCAATAGTCCTTCTGTGCATTCTTCCATTGTTGCCACCGCTTCATATTGTGCACATGGATCTTTGCAACAGAATTTCAGCGAATACGGAGTTCTCTTATAAAACCGTATCCTTTTATAAGAGCTTGCGTTTTCACTGCCTCCGCTATATATGCTGCAATACTACGAAAATTCCTCATGTCTGCTTTTAAAAGAAGCCCCATGATTCTATTTATTTTGTTTTGAAATGAAAATGTGAGTGTTTTGTTTCTGAAATTTTGCAGCACGGGGGGGGCTTGAAGGGAGCAGTTTGGGTTTTTGGATTTCCCCAGAAACTGCTCCTCTACTTTAAACCATTTACTTGCAATCAAATTGCACTGAATTTATGGAATCCTATTTCCAAGTAAGAATTCATCTGTACAGGACGCTGTCCCGGTTTAGATATCTACATTAGCATCAAGTTGCAAGGTACGGTTATTCAACAAAAGGAGATGTGATACGGCTCTTGAGAACTACATATCATCATATGATGCCTTAAATCAGTGGTCCCCAACCTTGGGCCTCCAGATATTCTTGGACTTCAACTCCCAGAAATCCTGGCCAGCAAAGGTAGTAGTGAAGGTTTCTGGGAGTTGTAGTCCAAGAACATCTGGAGGCCCAAGGTTGGGGACCACTGTCTTAAATGACTTGTTCTTGCTTGATCTGTACACAAAGAAAGCTGTAGATAATTGTCTAGCATTTGAGGGCATTGTTTCTTGTCAGTTATCATGAATAGCTTTTGAGCGAAGTGTAACTGTCTCAGCTTTGCATCATAGATGTGATGGTCCTGTCAATTAAAAAGAATTCTAGAGTTTCATACCACTCGCATGTATGGGTCCTTAAATGACTTGTTCTTGCTTGATCTGTACACAAAGAAAGCTGTAGATAATTGTCTAGCATTTGAGGGCATTGTTTCTTGTCAGTTATCATGAATAGCTTTTGAGCGAAGTGTAACTGTCTCAGCTTTGCATCATAGATGTGATGGTCCTGTCAATTAAAAAGAATTCTAGAGTTTCATACCACTCGCATGTATGGGTCAATAAGCAGTGTGGTGTGTCTCCTGTGGTGACCTAAGTATTATTGTTTTTTCAAGAAGAGAATTACTAGAATAGATAAAAGGGGGGGGGGGAAAGAAATGTTTTGGCATTTTAAAGCCTAACTGCTGTATTTTAACGTAAGCTTTTTTGTGGAACACATCCATTTCATCAGACATAAGAGTACAGAGGCCGTGTGGTTAAGACATTCAAGCCAAGCTGTAAGATAGAAGGGAAAGTGGGTTTTGTTTTGTACCGTGGGGATTTCCTCCCTCCACCCCTGAACCTGCCCCAGATGCTTAAGCAACCTGCTGGAATGATCTATTCAGGAACAAAGAGGGTTGCAGATGTGGGATGTTGGAGGCAGGGCCTTGTGGAGACTGACATGTGTTTCTACTTGTGGATCTAAATGCACAGAGGTAGTAACTGGCATCAAATAATGAACTACAGTGGGGTCTTGACTTAAGAACGGCTCGAGTTAAGAACATTTTGACCTAAGAACTGCTCTTGTAGGAAAATATTGACTTGAGTTAAGTACTTAGATTTGAGTTAAGAACTGAAAAAAACCCACGTGGGAGGCAGGGAAAGTGCAAAATGTGAATTTTCAGTTAACTGTTGGCCAGTGAAAAGGGTGCCTGTCTGCTTCCTCACTCCTCCCAGCGTTTAGAGAGTGGATTGGGAAACAGTCTTCAGACTGCCTGGACTGTATTTTCCCTGCCTTCCCTGAACCTTTCTTGACCTAAGAAAAAAAGAAACAAAATATCCCCCTCTAGTGGTCGAAGGCGGAATAGCAGCTTCCCATTAGTTTCTATGGACGGAAAAGAGCAGATACGGATCAAATGGTTTTCAATGCATTCCTATGGGAAATGCAGATTTGACTTGAGAACTTTTTGACTTGAGAACCGCCTTCCAATACGGATTAAGTTCTCAAGTCAAGACCCCACTGTAATCCTCAAGGTTTCACAAATGAGGCCCACTTGCCTTTTTGAAACTTCTGGCTGAAACTCACTTTCTAGGTGCAAAATTCTTTGGGGCTAGGAAAGAGGACAAGAAAATAAAGTCTTTCAATATGTCACTTTGTTTCCTTTTCGAAATGAGTTTTTAAAGTCACTGCCAGGCTTATTGGTCCCCCTTATTTGTTTACTGTGAAAGGTCTTGAATTTATTTATTTATTTATTTATGCGGGGCACCACTGTGTGTGTGTGTGTACAGTATTGCACAGAGAAGTTGATCTATAGCAGGTCTATAGAACGTATGCCTTCCAGATGTTGTAAAATTGGGACTCCCGTCATCCCTGATCATTGGCTGTTCTATCTGGATAATGCTGGGCTAATGGGAAGGGCAGTCCCAACAACATTTGTAGGGGCAGATCTTCCTCACTCTACTTGGTTACAAAATGATGGTTTCTGATGGTTTCAGGTTCCGAGGGAACACGGCCAGCCATCAGACAAGTTGGCAGCCTAGGTATAAATGTCTGCTCCTGACTCACCCAATAGCAAGCTAAAAAAAACACCATTAAAGCTTCTACCTGGAATTGCTGCAAGAAAGATCAGCAGGAATGAAACATCATCCAGAACCGCAATCAAAATGTAACTTTCTTCATACCTGCTGGTTAGAAGGACACTCTTAATTGCTGATTTGGAACCTGGAGGATAACTAAAGGCCTGAAACAGCTGAAGCTGCAAGCTTAGTCTTCACTTTTCAAGCTTTGCAGAAAACAAAGAAGATGGAAATGGGGCTGAACTCCTTAGGAGCGCGGTTCACCAGTCTACACCCAAACGTGCAGCCCCACAAGATTTTAAACATGGGCATGGAGCCTTAGGACCGAAGCCATGACACCTAAGTTGTTCTAGAGACATTGTAGGGAACCTTGTGAGTTTCGCCAAGAAAGTCCAGCTAATTTGTTCTCAACGACGAATTCACTACCGAATCTAAGGGAAGAAAAATCCCTGTATCCCAAGACGTATCATGAGGAACATTGCAAAGATATCATGCTCCTTATTCTTTCACCAATGCACAAAGAGCTGATCCAAAATAGAGATGGCCTGTCCTTTTTTAAAATTGATGATAAAGAAGGAAGGAAGGAAATATACAACAGCCTGAAAAGAACATGCAACAAATCTCTGAGAGGTTCTAGATCTCCAGGGGAAGCAAAGAGAATCGACACTGAGTGACAGGTGGACTCAATTCACAATGGGCCTCAGAGAAGGTTGAATAAAACAGAATTAGAGAGGAAAGAAATCAAAAATGAGCAACTCACCATGTGTACTGAACTTACATAATGACAGAGCCGCTAGGAAGGTGAGCTATTGAACAATGGTTTGCCCTGGCGCCTAGCCGCAGGACTGTAGCAGTCATGGGTATCTAGGGTTGTCCCCACAATATTCTGTTCTTTCCATGATATAACCTATTGCTGCTGCTGGGGGTGAGGATCTGTACAAAGAATCTAGACCCTTCGGCTCCTATTGTTGCCTTGTGGCTGTCCAGAGGGATTGGGCCATACGGTGGACTGATCAGCATTTAGGAAACTTGGATTATTGTTTGAAGCTGACGCTGCTTGGAATCTGGGAGCTTTGTTTATCTAATGCTAGACATATTGATCATCTGTATAACGTAACTGAGAGACACTCTCAAATTAACAAGTGGTTCTGATATTTATAATGAAGTGGCATCTGTGAATGCCTCTTCAATATATCTGCAGGCTGAGAACTGTAAGCAAGAATATTTCCATATGCTGTCAAGTGCATTCTGACTTTTGATGAGCCTTTTCCAGAGTTTCCTAGTAACAGATGTGGTGTACCTTCCCCTTTGTCTGGGGTTACTCTGGGCCTCTGTATCTGTCACATAGAGTGGCTCTTTTTTTTTACAATGCCACTAGGGAATTGAGCTTTCAACCCT